TTCAGAGCTTTCCAAACTTCAACCTTACTAATTTTCCCCACTTCCTGGTCCACAGTTTCTATGACCTCTACTCTTTTTCTCCTTTCATTATCTTCATTCATTAGCTCCTCAAAGTACTCCTTCCATCTTCCCATCACACTCTCCTCACTTGTTAGAACATTACCATTCCTATCTTTGACAAGCCTAACCTGCTGCACATCCTTTCCAGCCTGATCCCTCGGTCTATCCAATCAGTACAAGTTCTTCTCACCCTCTTTAGTGTCCAGCCTCTCATACAACTCATCATGCACCTTCTGCTTTGCCTTTGCTACTTCTCTTTTTGCTTTATGTTGCATCTCTGTGGGAGTTCTAGGTTTGCCAGCTACACTCACTTTCTCCACAGCTGCAGTCGATTCCTTTCAGCCACCACTCCACACCTGCTCCTAATTTGAAGGACAACTCTGCTTGGGTATAAAAGCCTCTGCCAGACATTCCTCCAGTGTTGGGACATGATCTATTACTATGGTAAAGGTAATGGACAGTGCCTAATCTGTATTTAAAAACTTTGTATCTAAAAACCTTATTTGATCTCCTGCAGTGACTTCCAAGTCCTGAAACCTTCAACTCTTCTAAGGCCTCTTCATTACTTGTGACTATGCCTCGTCCTGATCGTGTCCCATGACTACAAAGAGCCTGTAGCCTGAAATATTACTGGCAACAACCTGCTCCTCTCTCCATCGGTACTCACCTCTCTCGTTGCAAGGCTCATCTGTGAAACCTAAAACCTCTCTGCTCTCTCTCTCTCTTCTGGCACCAACTACAAAGAAAACATCTCAGTAAGAACAGACTCTCCACAAGTTAAACGATTATTATCCAACATAAACCTGAAAATTTTCCAGATACTCCCTTTGTCCCTTTTTCCTTTACAGTCTAGAGATCCACACCTGTAAATAAAGACACTTACTTTTGTACTTCTGGCTCTGTCTTTTTCTCAGTCTGCCACTTGGGGTCATGTCTTATCTAAAATCATGTCAATCTCCTTATTTCTGTCTACTTTCTCAGTCCTTTCACTGTCTCATTTCTTCAATGATAACCTTTTCCTCTGAATTGCTTCCTGCACTTCACTATTCCATCACCAGGGGCCTCATGTATCAACTCACGAATGCAAGTAAAGGTCGCGTGCATTCCTGCTCCACACACATGTCGGGATGTATCAAAATGAAAGTTGAGTGTAAGTGTACATAAATTCACACACACCTGATCTGCCGTGAGAATGTGCATGCCTTCATGCAAACTTTTTCAGTCCATACTATCAGCCTAAAAAGTACTGGAACTCACATAATAAATAAACCAAAATATGACTCTGGTTTTCTGAACTTAAAGAATATTCGAGCACAATGATTTTTCACAAGTTTGGTAATTTATGGTTTAAATCCATGCAAGGAAACTGAACCATATTTAACTTCAAACAACATGACAATGTCCAGTTTAAAGACTGAGCTCAAGACTTTCCTTTTTGATAAATCCTATAGTTAGGGTTGGCTTGTTATGCTGCCATAGACTTAGACTACTGGAGGACAAATTGACCACATTTGTTAAAATGAATTGTTAAAATTGAATAGTTTTCATTCAATATTATTTTTATTTTAAGATGTGATTATCGACCTGACATTGTGTATCCGTTCCTCCTTCCTGTTCCTCTCAAACACAGCTGATCGAAGCAGATAGCCACTTGTCCTGAGCCTGGTTCTGCTTTAGGCTTCTTAATCTTGAGGTAGTTTTTCCTTTCTCCTGTTGCCTTCATGTTTGCTAAAGATGAGGGTCTGTGATGAAGTTAAACTCAAAGCAGTCTGCTCCTCAGATAAATACTGTTATTAACTTAAGCATAACTTGAGCATGCATCAGGATGTTATTAACTTAACTTTTCTGTATATGAATGTTTCTGTTCAGTGCCCTGAGATGACTTCTTTTTTGTCTTGGAGCTATATAAATAAACTGAATTGAATTGAAACGGAATAGATCAGCAATTTAATTCAGAACAACTCATCTCTGATGACTCCTCAGGTTGACAAGGTGCACCATCACATAAATGTCCATAAATAGCTGCATAAAGTTGTACATAATTTTGGGATGACAGCTGTAATGCTGCAGGACAACATCACCAATAAAATAATCTAGAGGCTGCGTGTTTTCAGAGATTACATTAACTGAGTACCGATCATGTTACCCCTGATCCATGCCATGCCAGTTGTATGGGATGACTTCATCCATAGGATGCCCTGATATATAAAATTTCCAACATCATGGAGGAAATTGTTGATTCTCAGTGACTCGTTTTATCACAACTGTTTAAAAAAATAAGCTTTTAAGTTCTACCAAGCTCTGGAGTTCCTCTGTATTTACAGTAATTATTTAGAAAGGCTCCACCAGCTGATCTGCATCCACCCCCCCACCCCCCCGGTTTGCTTCATTAAACAGCAAAAACACACACACCTTTTTACATGTGTGGCAAACATGTTACACACCACTAATTATTTAGGAGCATCTCTGATTCACATTCAGTGAAATTCTTTATTTTACTGCATTTTTTGTCTGTCCAAACAGGTCTCACTTGTAAATGAGTCTTCGAGGCTCAATGTGATTTATCTGTTTAAATAAAGGTTGAATGAATCTAGACATACATTTTTAACATGCAGAGACAAGTATCCCACATGCAAAACGTACTGTTTTTGCATCTATTTTTACATATTTAGATTGAGGCGGCGTGTCAATGGAGTAGTTGGGTTTTCCTTTACGTGCGCTCAGTTTCACGTTGATTGGGATGTACAAAGGAAGATTGCTTGGATTCATGCGTACAGTTTTGTACATCTGGATTTATTTGTGCGTACGCTGCTTCCTTGATTTAAGCGTACACCATGTTTCAGTAGAAAATCCACACATGTCTCTCTACATACTTACCTTTGAGATCTTGCCTTTTTCCCTGGGTTTCGTCTATTTCCACCAGCCACTCTTTGCCTATCAGCTCTTCTCCTCGATCATCTGGCTCACACCACTGGTTACCACACCTGGTCCTGGAATCCTCCCCACCTCTCCTTCAGTGCTTAAAGGCTACATTTTCATTGTAAGAGCTTTACTTTGTGTCCTACATTATTCTGAGTTTAATTATCACCAGAGACTCACCCATTCTCATCCTCCACAAATTGATGATCCACTACCTTTTTTACTTCTGACCTTGAATCTTTTTCATCCTCAGAGAACCAAAATGTGTTTTCCATCCATCCATCCATCCATCCATCCATCCATCCATCCATCCATCCATCCATCCATC